AAAGGAAAATGTCCGACATGATTTTGCCCCAGACTCTGGGCATGGGGAGGGCAGCGGGTGTTGCAGCAAGGCTCCCGGGGCCAGGCTGGTCCTGTCAGACCTCCCAGAGTAATCCTGAAGTGCTGAGGTGGGTCAGGAGAGCACCCCTTTTCTTGGCCCAGATGGCTCAGGCACTTGTTCTAGTCTGTCCTCGCATTTCTGAAGCCATGAGAGGCACAGGGAGCCATGCTGGCCCTCATCCCCTGCCCTCTGCCTTGCCCCTCACCAGGGACGCCGCACTATCCAAACCCGCCTTCGGAGACAGGCGATGCTACCAGCTGCCTCCAGGCGCCAGGGGCCTGGCGATGCGTGCCGTGGTGAGTGAGCTGGCGTCAGGCAGCACCAAGGGTCGTGGGGTTATGGCTGTGGGGACTGGAAAACCTACACGTGGTGCCTGGGTTACAAGCCTTCACACAGCAGCAGGGTTTGGGGAGAGCAAGATACGGGGTGTTGGAGTCAAAAGGGGGTAGGAGACACACCAGCCAAAATGGCCAAAGGGTCTTCCCCCTCCACAAGCAAGAAAAACATGAGGCCCATCAGCCTGCCAGAGAGCTGGTCCCCAGCATGGGCTTGAGGACTGTGCGCTGGGAGCTGTGGAGTTGGTGACCCCATGCCCTGCTGGGGTGTCAGATCCACGCACCCACCGGCTTTCCCCAGGCACTGTGCATCTGGTGAGGGAGCGTCGGCTCTGCCCCCTAGCAGCCCGTCCGTGGGCTCCTGTGGCCATTAGGGGCTCACCAAACCCTTCAGTGATCCCGCCTGGGAAAACCAACCACCAGGGCAAAACTTCTAGGGAAAACCAACCATGGCTTGCTGGAAAACGTTCTTCTATCCCGGGCTGCTGGGGTCACATGCATGTTCCCCTTGCAGGACCGGGACGTGCGTGAGGGAGCTGACATGCTGATGGTGAAGCCGGGGATGCCCTACCTGGACCTTGTGAGGGACGTCAAGGCTCGAGTAAGCTCTTTCTGCATGCCAGTGAGGGCACAGGGTGTCCCTGTAGGGGGGTGAGGAGGGGTGTGTGTTTGGGATGGATGGTTCGGATATCCAAGCCACAAGGGATGCGACTGTTGGTTTCATATGTCGAGGTGGGCACTGGAGCACCTCTGGGGGCCTCCACGCTCCTCCTGGGAGCAGTGGGGTGCGTGGGGAGAGGACGCCTGGCACGGCGAGGAGTATTCCCCATCTGCCCAGTGGCTGACCTCTCCCC